CCTGTCGACTCGTCGAGCTCGACAACGGGCCATGTCCCTAAAGCGTCCTGGCTGCTTCCTTCCCTAAATCGGGCAAGCATGTCGGGGTAAGGGAGCCGGTGGAAATCTTTCAAAGGAAGCCCAGAAATCGAATATGAGGCCGCAGAAGATGACATCCATGACTTGCGTCACCACTTGACTTGTGGAGGTGACCCGTGAGCGCATCCAGCGCCCTGGCGTAAAGAGTGTTGATGCTGGAGTCCTGACGAAGTTGAAGTACTCCGCGCAGGTCATTGTTGAGAATACCCTCATCATAGGCATCAACGTCTGCATCTTGGCGATCCCGCTCGTCCATCATTTCGTCATCACGCGCCAACGCCTCCTCATCCGGTTCGGCAACGGTCATGGCGTCGGAGACGTCATGGTCCTGTGGCTCGGCCATAGATCCAGCTTCGGCGGCTGCGTCAACCTCGGCGTACGCTGCGGCTTGGGCACGCTGCAACGCGTCTTCGCTGATCTCCGGCTCGTCATCAACCACCTGAGGAGTTGGAGCAACATACTCCTGACGTCCAACGCAATCGAAAATTGCAAGGCAGGCAGATTGCGACCTTGGTTGGAGTTTCACGCATGCATTGCGGACACACACGAAGCTTCAGCGGCTCCCGTTAGAATGCCGCACTGTAAGTGTTTGAATAGTATCTGCTGCACATGGCCACGCACCTTCGTTTGAGGCTGTCAGATCTGTCTCCTGCGTCGGGTTCGGCAACAAGCTGGTCACGCTCTGACGCGTGGGGACCCGGGTCGATGCTGAGGAGCCTTTGCAGGGGCGGCGTCGACATATGCCCCGCTGGGGTCATATGTACCATTGACGTTTTCCAGGGTCTCATTTTCAAGTGAATCGCTCATGATCTTGCGTAGTTCAGCAAGACATAAGACGGCACGTAAAGGACAAGGAGCGGCATAGCGTTTTCTCCCGGAACTCGGTATCTCGTGATGAGATTGCGAGAATCCCATGGCGCAAAAACGCCGAAATGAGTGCTCAACCGGGACCCATGGGGCCCACCGGGAGAATGCCGTCGTTGATGATGCCATGAATGTCGCGAATAGAAGTTGCATGGAACCCACCCCCCAGATCGTTCCATGGCGCTGATCGTCGGGCGGTACGCGATCTTTGTTGGATCCAAACGAACGCCTGAGCGCCGATCAACAGAGTGTCCACTAGTGGCACGAACGGCCGAAGGCCGGATCCAAGCGTCATCGGTCACGTAGGCAGCGGGCTCGTCATAGCATGTGTCCCTTTGACTCTGAAGTTCGGCAACCTGGACGTCGACGCTGACGGGCCGATTTGACCATGGCTCACCTCACGTGATGTGTCCTGCGAGAGGACACACCTTGACACCAAGAAATTGGAGGCGGAACCTTTGTGTCTTCAAGCCCACAGCCCAATTTGATTTCATGAGAAGCTTGAGCCTTCGGCTCGGCTCTTTGCAGCCATGGTCCCCTGAGCGGACCGGCTCGGGTACCTGGGTTGCCAGAACATGTCCCTCTCCAGAAGAATATCAATATTCACCCAACCGCCTTCATGGCACTCAATAGTCGGAAAACCATCCACACCTCGATATTCGACACTATTTTGCGCCGCAGCAGCGAGTTGAAGTCGCACATCATCTGATCAAGGTGAGAGTGTTCCCTTCGTGCGATGGTATCGGCTTGCTCGAAGATCTCCAACACCTCGACAGGAAAAACCTTCCTCGCCGTGGCATGACGCGAAGGTCTCCACCAAACACCCCCCTTGCCGCGCGTAGGTATTCAGAAACCCCTTCAAAGCATTGCGGGCGTGGGTCACCACGTCGTGGATGCGTCGCCACGGCTTCGCCAATAATCCGTCGGACATCATGGCCTACCTCGGTGTTGGACGGGAGCCCCCTAGAGCTGATTTCGATTCGCCGGACAGTCATCAAACCTTCGCGAGCCCTGACCAACTCAACGGCAGAACTGGGCTGATCGTAGATGAGCTCGACAACGCCAGTGGTCGTGGCAGCTCTGTTCCACCGCACGCGCATTGGCCTGGCTTTTACCTTGGGTCGTGTAGTTGTAGCCGGCTCCGCCGTAAGTGAGGGCACGGCTTCTTGATCCACAGCAGATGGCGCTGTTGGACGCACGCGCGGTAACGGTGGTCGACGATCACGAGGTCGTGCCTCGGCCTCGTCTGCCATTTCACGCGCGGTTCTCATAGGCCCGGAGATAATCCGGTCAGGAAGCGCGGGTTCTGGAATTCTGACACTGGTAGAGATGGGAGTTCTGGCAGCCTGGACGTTGGCATGATCCACGTCCATGTCTGATCGGATTGTCCCGGAACATGCGGAGGAAACCTCGGATATGGCCGATAATGCTGGAAAAACGACTCGAGCAAGCCCATGCCGAGAGCAATGGAATCGGGGCTGGCGGGAGACCTTCTGCACTCGAAAGTGCCGTGGCCATCCCCATAGCACGCAAGGCAAACGTCATTCCTCGCGAGAGGTGTCCTAATGTGACCAAGCCCTTCCTCTGCTCGGCGAACGAGCTCGATGACTTCGAGCTGACCTTCACTGAGACCATCCAAATTGCCCCGTTGGCTCGACTCTTCTTCTTCTGGTTCTGCACCTGTAGCGATAGATAGAGGCTGCCACCTCTTCCTCAGGCGCAGCATCATACTCGGGCTCATGGACGGGTTGAGGAACATGAGTTTGAACGGCTTCCCCTTCTTCCTCGGCACCATCAGCCGGATCAGCGAAGAAATTGAAAGGGATCCGATGAAGAACGTCGTCGATTCCTCTTTGTTCCTCAGGGACTCAGGGGGTCACGTCGGCGGTCTTCTACGTTTTCGCTTTTGTGTTGGGAACAAGGTAATTGACTCGACGGCCGCACACCGATGGAATGATCTTTCAATCCCTCAAAGGCATGCTTCAATGGTGCGCTTACCGCCCCACTTGTCGAACATGTCTGGAAAGCGTGCTGCCACAACAAGCACGCCGGTCGCTGTCTCGAGAATATCGCCCAATAGCTCCTCACTCGGGCTCGGAGACCCACGCACATGGTCGTGATCTCCTCTTGGGAAAACAAGCAATTCATGAATCCCGCATATAGGCTGCGGCTGCGATGCCCGGGTCGTAGTATGCGATGTAGCACACTTCGCCGTCACGGCTGATTGCACGCTCCCATCCCAAGTGTTTCGCTCGCCCTTGTCTCGTAGGGCCGCAGGGCACCCAGAGATGAGACCGTCTTTGCCAAATTGGATCGACTCATCGTAGCGCAACGGTAGATGAAATGCTTGATGCCGCGGGCGGGGTCGAAGATGGCGTCGCCGGTGTTTTGGTCAACAAAGAAGTTCCGGTACAGGTACACTGCACAAGCGGCAGCGTGTTGCTCGAGCCTCTTCCAATCATCCCATGAAATCACCTCCGGGCACTGTCTCCATTGTTCTTTGAAGGCACATCCCGGGCAACACGATCCGTACTGGGCATTTCTCAGGCTTTCGGAATCGTTGAGGACGCTGCGGCATTTTTCGCAATAGAGGGCCTTTCCCGGGACAGTCGATCGTTCGTTCGTGGTTTGGTACTGTTGGATCTTCCACCAAAAGGTCTCACTGTCATAGTACGGCTCAGGCTCGATCCACGCCACGCCCTCGCTCCTGAACGGAAGATCTGACCTGCGCCTCTCCACACGCCTTACTCTAGCGAGGTCCCGCGCAGCGGAGGCCTGCTCTTCACCTGCCGTGACATCAGGGCCAATGACATTGACCTCGTCATCTTCGAAGAAGATGAAGACGCGGGTGATGCGTTCATGGTCCAAGTTGAAAGGCTAGATGAACGCCGACATGATGTTGATCTTCTTTGTGTCCAGCACGCAAGTAGCCAACGTCTTCTCGTTCATGAGGAACTTCTCGAACAATGCCCAACCGAACTCCGCTTGATCTGCTTTGATTCGATGTCCTGATCCTCCAGTCACGGAGAGAAGCTTAGGCCACAGGCTTGACGTCGTCAAAACCAAGCAGCCATTGGCTCGAAGTTCCCTCGCCACCTTCTTTACCACGACGCCGTAGGACATCGCGGTATGGCCCAAGCCATTACACAATGGGTCGTCATTGATCGTAACAATGGCGGATCTCGGGACAATCTCGTGCAACTCGGCGATGGGTTGAATGTAGCACTCCTCAATGACTTCGTTCTCAAGCGGTGAGAGCGCCATCTCATAAAGAGACAGGTGAGTGCGCACGGTCATCCGGGAAATTGTTTCCACACGCACACTCCTCAACCTGTCACACGCTCTGCGGACCGTCACTGCAAAGTTAGTGATATTGTCTTGCGGTCGGTTCACTTCAGGAGGAGTGAATACTTCCAGCGAGGCGATAGCCGGACTCGTACCGGCGTGCGAATTGCTGGCCTTCGAGCGCAAGTTGAAATCCATAACGAGCAGGGTGTTTTCGGCCTTCCAAACCGCATAGAGTTCCGCCAATCCACCTCCGCGGCTCAGAAGTCCGCGATCTCTTTCTCGGGGAAATTAGGACGAATCCAATCAGGCCTTTGGTCGTCTACGACAAACAGCGGGCTCAGGAAGGCACTGGCTGCGCAACCCAAGTGCATGAGATGGTAGATCTGATTGTAAAGACGAAGCCATTCCTCATCCCGTTTGAGAATGTAGGTCGGTAAATGGAAGCCTGCCTCCATGTTCGCGGACAGTCCACCCGATAGCGCAAGCATGGTCACGAGCCTACGAAGATATACCTGGGCGCAAGATTTGCCCACGCCTGGCCTCGGCATTTCGACGGCTCTTATACAAAGTCACCACCGTCCCTACGCTTTGCCAACTTTGTTCCATACACCTTCCCAGAGCATACCTTAAAAAAAGTGGCGCGTGATGAGCACAGTGTTCTCCGTGTCAATAGGCATGGCCCACCCCGTCTCTGGAAGGGTTCGCTGGCGGATGGAGCGGCGGTTGTTGACCCGACCGTCGGTCTTTGTCGACTGCTGGATGAAGCGGCGTCAGACGATGTGGTAGGTCTGGTAGATGGCGCCGGAGTAGCCCTGGTCCTCTTTGGGCCTTGCTCCGTAAAGTCCGGCGACGCGCGGTGGGCGTAGCCCTACCAGCAGCCGGTTGGGAAAGAGGACGCGCTGGGCCTTCAGGTTCGCCAACTCGGGGGGCGGCCCCTTGCCCACGCAGGGTGATGAGCAGCGATGGGGCGCGGAAAGTTGGTGTTGCCGGGCAACAGATAGACGTGACCAGGCCGTTGGCCATGATCAGTATCTTGATTCATGGCCACTCTCGATCCTGAGTTGATTGTATGAAGCAACCGCAATCGTGTTGGGTAAACCTGCACCAGTGGGAGGAGGTCTCGATAGGAGGTCCATCTCATCAACGGTATAGGTGTAGTCGATGGAAGATAACCTCAACGTTCTTGCACACACGTTCAGGGCCTGGAAGCAATTTACCGCGTGAGCCAAGAGCGCATCCAAGTTGTCAGGAGGCTGCTGCACCAGCTGGACAAGGTCGATCACCGTCATCTGGTCCTCGGGATGGTCACGGTTATGCGTCCGCAGGCCGTAGGCCATGTGGCTGCAAAAGTTCTCGACAGAATGTCGCAATAGGACGAGGGCATTCCATCCTAATTTCATGGCACAGGGCGTGCTCTCATAGACACCTGCTGCGCTTCGTACCAGGCTTGATATCTTGTCGAATGAGTGAAACCCGTTGGTGGAGGAAAAGGTCTGCATACGAGAATAGGGTTCAGGTAGTCCGCATCGCTGACGACGTCAAACGCTGGCGCGTCGGGGTCTACCTTTCGGTCCCTTGCATCCTGCTCCAACACGTCCACGAAGAGGTTAACGTCCTTCACCCTCCAGGTCCACAAGGTCAAAGAGGATGTTTGGAAAATAGGAAAATACTGCTGGGGCTCATTCTGGATTCGCGCAAGGCAGGACGCTCTTTTGATACGTGCAACCAAATCCTTGTAGCTCTGAAACCATGATGGTTCCTTTAGGGCAATCACCAACGCTCTGTATATAATTCGCGCGGTCGAGTACGTCGATCACGACGCGGACTGCACGCTGCTGTTAGGGCTGTGACAAAGACCACAGGCACGCCCGACTTCGCCCATTTCATAATTTGCGATTTCTGGGCCACACCCCACGCTTGATCTTGGGGGGCAGACGTTCTTGGGCTTCGCGTAGTCGAGCAAGCACACCGTTCACCCTCCGGATTTTCTTGAGCGGGTCATCCGGGATGATACCGCCGCGGCACTCCTCGAACGACAGGATTTCAATCATAGTTGCTGGGTTGCGCACGGGGACCACGAGGAGGAGGATTCGGCGGAGGCATTGATGAAGAATGCCCCGGCGGTGGATCATCCTCTTCGAAGGATGTTTGCCATGGCGTGTATCCACCAGCCATTGCGTGCCCTCTGGTTCGAGGGACGTAGTCCACTCTCACCTCCGGGCAAGAGCAGCTACGTCGATGCGGTCTTTCCCCAATGTGCTGACCATTGGTCAAACACACGGGCCCTACAACTTTCTTGCACGGCGCACAATCAACAACGACACAAGGTAAAGCAATAGAACGCTGAACTCTCCTACCTTGCTTCACTGGTTTGAGCCGCCTGCGGGACATGCGCTCATCCTTCCACGCTTCATGAATGGTACTAGCAAAAACAGGCGCGTAATTCTCAGCTTCCCTCAAGGCTTTGCCTCTAGCTAGTCCATGTTCATGCTTGCCATCACCTCGGGCAGAATGTTTGACGTTAAGCCTTAGCCCCTCCAAAGGTCGGAGTGTTTGACGTTGGTCCTGGGCCCCTCGAAAGGTCAGTATTTTCACGTTAATCGCTGGCCTTCCGAGGGGTCAGAATGTCTGATGTAAAGCCTGCGCCCATTGAGGGGTCAGAATGTGTGACGTAAAGCCTGGGCCCCTTGGAGGGGTTAGAACGTTTGATGTTAAGCCTGGGCCCCTCGAGGTAAGGCGTTGAGCAACAGCAACATTGCTTCCAAGCCTGCTCGAATTTGAACAAGGGCATTTTGAAGCATCCAAGCCATCCAGCACTTGTCACCTAGGTCGAGCCTATACTCAGCAGAGATCCTGGACAGGTAGGCAGGCAGCGAGATGTCTCTTTGAATGAGCTCCAAAACATCCAGCACGTCATCGGGGCGGGATGATTTGCTACTCGAGCGAAACGCCGATCAGACGCCGCTCCAAATCTTCTTCCACCATTTTGGCGCCGGCCCTTTCTTCCACATTATGGCTTTGGACGACACTTGAATGTTCGTAGAAGTGCCCAGGATCAGGTTGTCTGCAGGCTTCTTGTCAAGCACCGGTACTGGCACAACAGGGGCAATCTGACGAGGCTCCGTCATGCTTAGCGATCACCTCCAGCAGAACGCTCAGGTCAATTGAGACTTCCCATGGCAAGGCAGGCACCGAGATGACCATTGTTTCTGCAGAGGAACTCGAAAGTCTTGAGCTCGTAGCGCGAGAAACCCAGTTCACGCATATGTTGCGGTCGATGCTTGAAGAGCTCCATGATGTGGCTGCTGAGAGCATCACGGTCACCATCGGGATATGTATCATTGGATACATCGTTCGCTTTTCTGCCAAGCGTTGCTTGATATTTCGCCTCCTTGCCGTCATCCTCCATCGTCTCGTTTGGGTTCCCCTTGGCTGCTGTAGTCGCTGCGGAGCTCTCGATCTCCCGTCATAGCCGCGTTTTCCATTTCCAGGTCGTCGTGGTTCAGTAGGTCCAGGGTTTAGTGGCTTTGGATTTAGGGTTTAGGGTTTAGGGTTTTTGGATGTAGGGTTTAGGGATGAGGGGTTTTGGATTTAGGGGTTTGGGATTTAAAGTATGGGGCGCAGGGGTTTTGGATTTTTTTTCAACTCCATCGACCCTTTTCGTCTACAAGCGGCGGGGTTAACACACCTCACTCGGTGAGAATACACCTCATCTACTGTGGACGCTGGCATTAGGAAGATTTCACATCAGCGGG